TTTAAAATATTTCCTTAAATAGAAAGTCAAATTATTTAATTAAAAAGTCAAACTTTCTATTTAAGTATTTTTCCAACAACCTTTTTATATAGATATAGATGTTCCATAGTTATTAATAGGTCTCGGTCCGGTTCTTAACATACTTTTTAAGAACCGGAATCGGAACAGGACAAAAACCGACAAAAAAAACTGGTTCGGTTAACACATAATTAATTGCATGAACCGAAAAAGAACCAAACCGGTTTATTTTATAACGGTTTGTTTTTTTCGGTTCTTCGGGCAACTGAATAATAAAAAATAACCGACAATAATCGGTTTTGAGATAAGAAGCGTTCAAAGAATTGCTAACTCATGGACTAAAAATATCATTAAAAACCGAGAACGAAAATGTAAAAATGAGGAACCGAGGAATCCATTCATACATATAAACATATAATACATGCATATTTCACATATATAGTCGTTTCCTCGATTAATACACATACACTTGGAAAGGAACCGAGAACCAGAACCCAAACATGGAAAAAATAACCGAAACCGAAAAAAATATATATATATATTTTTTCAAATATCTGAACTGAACTGATTATTTTTGGTTCGATCTGGTTCAGTGCGGGCCGCGAAAGAGCCCAATCGGGCGGCCCTTGTGCGACACGCGCAGAAAGAAGAAAAAAAAATTCCGGCAAACTCTACGGCGGCGACTGCCGGCAGTTATTAATGGACTTTGGGTTTATTTGGTTCTTTAATTAATGGTTTTAAGGCATGTGAATTTTTTATTTTTATTTTTTTTAAAGTGAAATCGACTAAATTCCAAAATTGGGCTCAGTGTGAGGAGAAATATATCAAAATTAACTTGTCCAAAATTGTGAGGCTCCGTAAATTGGGTGGGTTAGTTCTTGTGAAAACTTTATCCACAATTTTTTTTTTTTTTTTTTCTCCAACGACAACAAACACATCATTAAAGCTCAAAGTACATGTACATCCGGTGAGTCAACTGACTGAAACAAATTTACAGGGATACATACATCTGCTCCCTTCACAAATAATTAGGTGTGCCAGTGTGTGAGGGCGTTAGGTGAAACACGCTTCCTAAATAGGCGCTTGAGTAGGTAAGAGAAAAAGTAAAAAGCCGTAAAAAAGTTGGTAAAAGAAACCTAGACACGATATTCAAGGCGAAAAATTCATTTTCTCAGATGAACATGTTTATTAACGCGATTAATATGTTGACTTTGTATGAAGAGTACCTTACCGGATCGTATGAAGAGTACCTTACCGAATCTAATCCACCCGGCACAGGCGAGCTTTGTCCCGGGGCGTCACATCACGGACAATATAGTCATTGCACAGGAGCTCATTCATTCTATGCGACACAAAAAAAGAGCGAAGGGGTTCATGGTTATTAAAGTTGATCTCGAAAAAGCGTATGACTACTTAAGATGGGACTTCATCGAAGAGACAATGCGTTTGGCCAGATATCCTGAACGTCTAATTACGGCTATTATGGCATGTCTTACCTCGGCCTCGATGAATCTACTTTGGAACGGGTCATGTGGGGAGGAGTTCTACCCCTCATGTGGGGTTCGGCAGGGCGACCCTATTTCTCCCTATCTTTTCGTCCTATGCATGAGAGGCTTGCTCAACTTATATGCGTAGCTGTTGACGAGCGTAGGTGGAAACCAATGACGTGGGAAGAGGGTCCGTTAGTGTCCCTTTCTTAATGTTTGCGGACGATCTTCTACTTTTCCTAGAGGCGACGGAAGAACAGGTCACCACCCTTAAACATGTTCTAGATCATTTTTGCTATTGCTCGGGACTCAAAGTGAGCGCT